AGAGCCACAAATGACCTACATATTGGAATTAGTACAAAGGACTTGAAAGTAACTCATAAATGCGTCCGTTCGTCTAAAATAAAAGATAGATATAATGGGTTAAGAGAGGAGGAATCTCAGGAAAGATTTCGAAACAAACAAACAAACAAAAAAAAAGAGCCAAACGGAAACCTTAAGATAGAAAAGCACACTATCTGAGAGTAAGAGAAAATAAAAATCATCGGATGAGATGAACAGATCGGATGCAACAAAATACAGGATTAGCGAACCTGGAGGCGGCGCAACCGAAATCATCCGATTTGAAGCATATAGAGAAAAAAAGGATTTAAAAAAATTAACGAAGCCTCCACAACCTTCGAGGCAGATCAAGCAAAGTAACGACGACGACTGGTGCCCAGAGAGAGGAGAAAAAACAAGGTGGAAAAAATATCTGCAGAAATATTGACAGAAACGTTCTCAAATTTGAATTTAGATAAACCAAAAAGAACAACATGCCAGGAAGCACGGAAAACCCCAAACTGGAAAAATGTGAAGAAAGGCACAGCAAAGGACACATGGGAAGACACGAGCGATCGAAGCAGGCACAGGAACACATCGCACCGTCGCATCAAGGGGACCGACGACCCGGAGGACAGCGGACTCGCGGCCGGAAACGATGCGTGCCAGAAGGCGATGGAGTAACATCTTTCCGGTACTTAGAGAAAACGTGTCACGCTAGAGTTCTATGTGCAGCAAAATGTCCCTCGAAGTAAAGATCAAGAAGACGCCCGCAGATGAAAGCTGAGACGATCTGTCACCGGCAATCCCTGCACTTGAAGAACTGCTAAAAAGAAACTCTCGGGCTGAAGAAAAATTGAAAGCAGATGGAAATTTAAGGTAGAAAATAGAAAAGAGAGTTGGGAATAGTAAATAGGTGGAAAATCTATTTCTTTTCATGAGTGTTTGAAAGTCAAGTGTTTAAAGTAAAAATAATAGTGCGCTGTGGGTTTATAACATCTGGAAAAACGTATAAAGCAACGGCACGAAGGATGAGAGAGTGGATTCAAATCATCTTTTTAGTTTCATATACGATGCACGAAGTGGTATGATATTAATTCCAGACTGGTCGGATGAGTTAGGGTATATGTTTTAACCTCTTGAGCAAAAACTTAAAAACTAAAAATGTGATGCACGAAGTGGTACAATATTAATTCCAGACGGGTCGGATAAGTTATTTTAACCTCTTGAGCAAAAACTTAAAAATTCATAACGAGGTCTGGCTCAGCGTGTGCAGCCCCCATGGAGAGGCAGGCCAGGTTGGGGCCAGAAGGCCGGCCTGTCCCGCACGGTCCCGGATGGTCCCGGACTGTCCCGGATGGCCCTGGACGGCGGGGCAGGAAGGAGGGGCGGCCGCCTGTGTGCAGAGGACGAAGCTGTGCACAGCGGCTTTGGGGACGTGGCTGTCACAGGCCCCCTGGGTCAGCGCCGGCCTCGGCCGCACACCCGCACCTCACGGCCAGCCCCAGCACGGCGGCGTTGTCGCGTGCCACGCTCTTCTCCCTTTCCGGCCACAGCGGGGTCAAGCTCGTGCTGTTCCCTTGTGCTTCTGCCCTCTGCCTGCCTGTCCCGCCACCCGCGTCTGCCTCTGTCACTTCGGCACTTGGTCCTGCACTGCCTTTCGTGTTGGCACTGGCCAAAGCCCCGCGGAGCTCCTGGGGGGTCCCAAACCGTGCCCGTCACTGCCCTCGGTGGCCACTGTCACTGCCCTCGGTGGCCAGCATGGTAGCGTGTGTTCCATGCGGGAAATGAGGCTTCTCCGGCCCGCGCGTCTGCGGGACCCAGGGGGCCTGGGCGCAGGACATGGGGCGCGCGGGGCGACGGGCGGGATGGGTCCGCCCCGCACACGTTCCCGCGGGCTCCTCCCCATCGCCCTGCGCACAGCCGCCCAGCCCAGGGCCCTCGGAACCAGCACGGAACCAGCACGGGACCAGCACACCTCGAACACCCTCTGGCATCCGAGCGGGTGGGTCTCGGATCCCGCATGGAACCGCTCCCGGGTGACATCAGTCCCGCCAGGCCAAGGTCCGCGGGGAGCGAGGCTCAGGCAACCGCGAAGGTGGGGTGCAGCCCTCCCCCAGAGAACACGAAGCTCTCTGATGTGGCCTCTGAGGGTTCCGGGAAGGGACGGAATGGCTCGCAGGCCGCCTACAGCCTGGACCCTGAGCTGGTGCTGTCACACATGCCGTCCAGCTGCATCGTCACGACGGTGTCCCTGGGCAGGCAGCTATCACTGCCTAGGCACAGGCAGCTGACATCGGTGGCCCAAGAACGCACGGCCAGCGGGTGGTAGGAATGAGACTCGTCCCACAGCTCGCAGGGACTGTTCCCGGGCATCTCCCCCATCGAAAGCTCCAGGGAGAACCCACACACCTCAGCGCAGAGGAACTGTCCCCGAAGGAGCAGGGCCAGGGGACGGCCTCCTGATCATTCTGCAGGACGCGCCCTTGGCAACGAACGCTGCCACGGAATGACAAATCGCCGCCACTTCAGAGATTCCCAAGGAGAAGGAAGGCGGGGAGTCCCAGTTAAGTCAAAGCTGGGGACCCGCCTTTCCAAAGTCAAGAAGTCCTTCGAGGATGGGGCGATTCAGGGAGCCCCCGGCCCCGGCTCCTGGCCTTGGGGCTACGGCCGTCCCTCAAAGGCCGGGCGGTGGAGAAGGCAGTGCCCGGGCAGAATCGCCGCCACTTCAGAGATTCCCAAGGAGAAGGAAGGCGGGGAGTCCCAGTTAAGTCAAAGCTGGGGACCCGCCTTTCCAAAGTCAAGAAGTCCTTCGAGGATGGGGCGATTCAGGGAGCCCCCGGCCCCGGCTCCCGGCCTTGGGGCTACGGCCGTCCCTCAAAGGCCGGGCGGTGGAGAAGGCAGTGCCCGGGCAGGTGGCATCGCAGCCCCGCCGCTGGAGCGAGCAGGAGCCCGTCCCAGCTGAGACGGGGTCCCAAGGGAGGAGCAGTGCGGAGCATGGAGCCCGGCGCTCCCAGCCCGGGCGTGTGCACATTGCCGACGGCCACCAGGCTGAGCTGTCGAGCCGCCCGGCCCGGGTGGGGAACGGGAGACGTGGGGCTCGTGGCCCGAGGGCCCCGTCCCAGCAACGGGAGCTGGGCTCGCACGGGGGGAAGCCAAACGCCAGAGCCAGGGACGCGGGGTCAGCTCGGAGGGGACAGCCCACTGCAGACGGGACCTGGGAGTGCGGACTCGGACGAGGGGACCTGCACCACGCAGGGGCGAGGACGGGCGAGGCGAAGAGTATGTGCAGGTGCAGACGGGGACACTGGGTGCGTCGCGGGGCGTCGGGGGGCTCCATGACAAATGTCCCGGCCGCAGCTGAGGGACAGGGGCCGGGGCCCCGCTAAGCGGGAAAGGCCTCGCTCCCGGGGACGTGGCACACTCCC